GATATCCCAACTGAGTCCTAAACAATAAGCAGGAATCACTCGAATGAGGATAGCAAAGAGACGGTCCAAATGGTAGGCAGCTGCAAAGCCCTGCAGGTGAGAGAGCACTGAAGGGATTTCCAAGGTTCTTTTATATAAAGTATGGCATTCCTCAAGGATAGGAGAGAGTGAGAACCCTGTGCTCCGTGCCACAAGACCAACTTCACCCAGAGGGCAGCAGGAATCAAAGAAAGGCATAGAGCAGGGAGCACAGGGTCCTGTTGGTATGATCACTCTGACCACAGTGGAGAAGGGAAGGGACAATACAGGAACACCCAAGGTTGGGCAGAGAAAAGGGGGTGTAAACCATAGTGCCCTTAAAGTGGAAGGAGAGACTTGGGTAGATGAGGGAGAAGGCAGGGGATGGACTAGACAGGGCTTTGTGATTCATCAGATGTGGAAGTGATAAAGAAGTCACAGTCTCCTCTCCATCCTGACTTGGACAGTTGAGCAGAAGCCAAGTCACTCTCTGAGGAGGGAGCCCAGGAGAGCATATGGTGGGATACAGGTGGTAAAGAAAGAGAATATGATGGAAAACATAAACTCAATGTTGCATATGTTGAAGTTGAGAAGCTGTAAGACATTATGACACCCATGGAGCTCTGGCATGGTCCAGGATCTCGGCTGCACACCTTATACACATCAAGTCAACCCTCACAAGGACTCTATGAGCAAAACACTCCTGTTATTCCCACGGTCATCCTGAAGTAAACACTCAGGATAAGCACTCAGCAGAGCCTATATTTGATCCAAGCCTGTTTTGTTCAGTTTCTCCTTGTGCCTCCTCCACACAATTCTACCCCACACTTGACCATGATGATTAGGACAGAAACCATCTCGAGAAAGAAAAGTCAGCACCATCATTACAGGGGTGATGATTAAAGCCACAAGAATGGGTGGTCCTGGCTAGTGATATTTACAACAACCATCTTAGCTAGGATGTGTTGAGTATCCATTATGTGCTATGATATTTTCCAAATGCTTTATATTATTTAATTTTTGCAATAGGCTTATAAGGTAGAGTACTCATATTGTAGGGCTGCCCTAACAGAATTCCAGAAACTGAGTGACTTCAACCACAGTTCAGGAGGCTAGAAGTCAGAGATCAAGGTGTCCACAGATTGGTTCCTTCTGAGGACCGTGAGAGAATCTGTTCCAGGCTTCTTTCCTATTTTCTGGTGGTTTGTTGACAATCTGCCTCCACTGACTTCTAGATTCCTTGCCCTGATATCTGCCTTCATCGTCACATGGCATTCTCCCTGAGTAAGTGTCTATGTCTGTGTCCAGATTTCCACTTTATAAAGACACCCATCCTATTGGATTAGGAATCACCATAATGTCCTCATCTTACTTGCTTATCTGCAAAGACCTTATTTCCAAATGAGTTAATGTTCACAGAAATTCAAACTTAGGACCTCAACATCTGTTGTTAGCTTCTCATCTCTGTGACCAAAATACCCAGCAAGAACAACTTAGAGGTGGAAAAGTTTATTTTGGCTCAAAAGTTTCAGTCCATGTGCTGAGTCCAGTGCTCTGGGTCCAAGGTGAGGCACAGCATCCTGGCGGAAGGGCATGATGGAGGAGAGCTGCTCCCTTCATGGCACCCAGGAATCCAAGTCAGGGAGGGGAAGGGGCTGCCGAGAAGATGCTGCCTTCCAGGGCATGCATCCGGTGACCCACCTCCTCCAGCCATGCCCCCCCTGCCTGCAGTGATCACCCAGATGAGGTTACAACTCCCACAATCCAATCAATTCACATTTCATTTTAAACATTCCTGCATTAACACAGGAGCTTTTGGGGGGACACCAAAAAAAATTAACCTCTGTCTTACAGATAAGGAAACCAAGGTACAAAGAAATAAGTAACTTGCCTGAGGTTATGAAGCTGATGCATTGAAAAGAATATGAAATGTGAGACAGGGAAGCCTAGAATAAGCACCCATGAAACATTCACATCCAACAGACCCGAGCAAGACCCCACTCCATGACCACAGGGGATGGGACCAGGAATGGGTACTGAAGCTGTCAAAGCAGAGACAGAAAGCTGAGTCACATCAAGGAACCAAAGGAAACCTGGCACTGTGGGGTGGATACGAGATTCCAAAGAGTCACCCTGGGCCCTGCACGGGGCCCTCCAGTTCTGTTCCCGGGATGTCCGACTGCTCTCCACTGAGTTCTGACTATGCAGTCAAGGCTCTCACTCACCTGTGTACCCACTTTTCCTTACATGAATCTCTCATTTCATTTCTGTTTCTTACAAACTGAGACTTATCTAACTCAAGCACCTAGAAAGGTAGAAGAAAAACAAGTTGCAGGTCACTTCATGGAAACCCACGGAAAAGGATATTTCAAGAAGGAAATGGTCTATAGGGCCACATGTTGCAGAAAGTTCAAGTTAGACAAGCACTTTAAAAGCAAAGCTTTGTTAACCAAAGAGCAGAGACAGGGCCAGGTTGCAGGGAGGAGGTAATGATTGGGAGTTGAGACAGAAAGATAGAAACGTAATGGACAATTTCACGGGGCTTGACTACAAAGAAGACAATGGAGGCAAGGCTTGAAGAATTGTCATAAATAGAGGGAGTGATTTTTCAAGACAAGAGAGATTTGAACATATTTTAAGGCTGATGGAATTAAGCTACTAACAAAGGTAAGGATGAAAATATTGAAAACAGACAAAAATAATTGATGAGATAAGTTGCTGGGGAAACTAGTCCCAGGCAGAAGACATAAGCCGAGAGGGGAAGAGGGAGGATGGGTGTGGACACAGAAGGCTGTATGAGGGTGCGGTAGTGAAGGTGATTCCCGTAATGGCTTCTATTCACTGAGTGAAATCACAGATGAGATTATCCACTGAGAGGGAAGAGAGAGGATAAGAGCTTTGAGCAAGAGAAGAATATTTGCAATAGTAGTTTTGAAAAATGGCAGTAAGAGCTAACCAGGAAAACACGGCAGTATTACCAGTCAGCACAGAGGGCTCGGTGGGGCTCAAGGTCATGAATTTGGGATGCCACTTAGCTGTGATTTCATGTGATTTTCTCCAGCCTCATTTGATGGGGGCAGGAAAAACAGCAGAAACATTGGTAGTTGGGATTACTTCAAAGTTGAGGACAGAAAGGCCAGGGAACAGAAAGTTTAAGGTATTAGGAAGAGAATGATTGAAGAAATGAGCCATCATCTCTAGGTGGCTCCAGATGGAATGAAGATTGGCAGGGCAAGGAGGGAGAAAATAGGAGGACCAAGGAAACTCAAAGGCTCACAGAACAGCTTTGTGGGAGTGGGACGTAAAAGTCTGGGATGAACAAAGTTGGTGGAGATTTTAACTTACAATTTCAATCACAGCATGCTGTGTGCATATGTGGGAATGTCGGAAAAGTCACATTGAATCCCACTAAAGTGTACAATTAATACATGTTAATAACAACATTTTTTTGAAGATTTCAGAGCTGGAGAGGTCTAGGGCACTGGGAGGTTCTGATGTGAGTGGGGTGTGCGTGTGTTTGTGTGTGTGCACGTGTGCACTCGCGGGCAACATCTGTCATTACAGGTGGTCCTGGTTGAACAGTTCATCCTACACCTCACCCTGCCCAGCCTTACTGGAGGGTTGGCATGAGTTGTAGGCAGATGGGTTCATCCCCTGGCTCCAGGGATTGGGTCAGGGATGGTTACATGACAAGAAGAGATGGCTCCTCTGTAAGATTTCTCACACAGATGCTTGGAGACAAGTCCTTTTTCTCAGCTCAGGGATTATTAATATTATGGTTTGGATCTAAAATGTCCCCAAAAGCTCATGTGTTGAAAGTTTGGTCCCCAGTGCAGCAACGTGTAGAAGTGCTGCACATTGGCTCACGAGGGTTCTAACCCCATTGATGGATAAATCTGTTGATCAGTTCATAGATGAAGGGGCTATTAGGAGGTGAGGCTCAGTTAGATGAAGTAGGTCACTGGAGGCGTTCCTAGAAGGGTACTTTTGTCCCCAGTCCCTTGCTCTCTGCCATGGGGTGCGCAGGTCTCCTTCACCACACCCTTCCACCATGATGTTCCACCTTCCCTCAGGCCAAAACAATGGGGCCAGCGGACCATGGACCAAAACCTGTGGAACTATGAGCCAATAAATATTCCCTCATTTAAGTGTTCTTCCTCAGGTATTTTGCCACAGTGACAAAAAAAAAACCTGACACAGTTGGAAAGCCCGTCTTTCCTGTCAGCATGGAGAAAATGAGACCAACGTGAAAAGACAAGCCAATGATAGAGATGAGAGGTGAAGAGGAGCAAAAAGAATCTAGATAAAAATTTTGAATCCCTAAATCTACCCAGCTGAAGCTGAACCCTTCCAATGAGTCCTCAAAGTTCTATTTCAACTTCAGGTGGTCTACATTGACTCCTACATACTGCAGTCTAAGGTGTAAGTGGCTAAAACAAAAAGAGGTGTTATGGTTTGGATGTGGTGTCCCCCAAAAGCTCACGTGTGAGACAATGCAAGAAGGTTCAGAGAAAAAAACCATTAGGTCATGAAAACTTTAACCCAATCAGTGAATTGATCACCTGATGGGATTAATGGAGTGGTGATGCAAGGCAGGTGAGGTGTGGCGGAGGGGGCGGGGCGTTGGGAAATATGTTTGTATTTGGCAAGTAGAGATCTCTCTCTCTCTCTTTGCTTCATGTGAGCTGCCTCCCTCTGCCACGCTCTTCCACCATGATGTTCTGCTCCAAGGAAGCAATGGGCCCCAAGGAATGGAGCCAGCCTTCTATGGACTGAGACCTCTGAAACCATGAGCCCTCAAATGAACTTTCCTTCTCTACAATTGTTCTGGTCAAGTCATTTAGTCACAGTAGTGAAAGAGCTGACTAAACAGGAAGGAAAGATATGAGAGCTGAGAAGACCCAGAAACAACAGATACAATGTTGCATAGGTGACCTTGTGAACATTAATGCCACCCAGGATGAAGACAGCACTCAGCAGGGTGGAGAAGACACTTTGGAACCATTTTATTAAAAAATCTTAAGTAGGAAGAATAGACAGCATATTACTAGGTAACACAATAAAGACAAATGAAAATTATACAGCAGTTAGCAGGAGCTTCCAAAGAGCAACGGTTTTTTAAAATTTGTTCTAATTAGTTATACATGACAGTAGAATGCATTTGACACGTCATACATATACAGAGTATTACTTCTCATTCTTCTGGCTGTACCTGGTGTAGAATCACACCAGTCATGTAATCATATATACACATAGGATAATAATGTCCAATTCATTCTACTATCCTTCCTACCCCCATAACCTCTCCCCTTCCTTCACTCCCTTTTGCCCAATACAAAGTACCTCTACTCTTCCCTAGCCCTGTCCGCTTATTGTGAATTAGCATCCACATATCAGAGAAAACATTTGGCCTTTGGTTCTTTGGGATTGGCTTATTTTGCTTAGTATGATTTCTCCAGCTCCATACATTTACCTGCAAATGCTATAATTTCGTTCTTCTTTAAGGCCGAGTAATATTCCATTTTTTTTTGGTGTGTGTGTGTATATATATATATATATATACCACATTTTCTTTATCTATTCATCTGTTGAAGAGCAGCCAGATTGGTTCCATAGTTTAGCAATTGTGAATTAACCTGCTATAAACATTGATGGCTGTGTCACCGTAGTTTGCTGATTTTAAGTCCTTTTAAGTCCAAAGAGTGGAATAACTGGGTCAAATGCTGGCTCCATTCCAAGTTTTCTGAAGAATCTTCATACTGCTTTCCATAGTGGTTGCACCAATTTGCAGTCCCACCAGTAATATGTGAGTGTACCTTTTCCCCCACATCCTCGACAACACTTATTGTTGCTTGTATTCTTGATAATTGCCATACTGACTGGAGTTAGATGAAATTGTAGAGTACTTTTGATTGAGCAATGGTTTTTATACTACATAGAGTAATGGGATGGAAGACATAGAGGGGAAAGAGAGGTACCCAGATTATACTTGCTGATGAGAACCTGGAGCAGAATGCAATAACGTGGATAAGATAAGGTATTATCTTATCACTGGTGTATAAGTCATAGATTACATTACCACGAACTGCTGCCCCAGTGAAAATTAGACCCCACTTCTGTGTCCCAAGCATTCACCATAGCAGTACTACAGAGTCCCCAACAGCTCTTCAGGGAATAGAGTTGCTTACTCTTCTCCCTGTAAAATGGACTATAAGGTAAAACTGGAAATTTAGACAGATCGGGTTCACATTTTCCTCCTGAGGAACTTTATGCAGATACTTAGATGTCTCAGTGACCAGAATGAATACCCCAGTAGCAATTTCACTCAAGTGTATTTGGTAGAAGAGGTAGTTTTAAATATTTTAAGGCCTCATCTAAAAAATCACATCAATCTAATGCATTTTATTGGACAACATAAAATATCCATGGATATTACAGACCAACAAATGGAACACAAAAACATGAAGCTGGCTTGCCAACTCTGGAATGAGGGCCACCGAGGGAGAGGCCACAGCCAATGCCATCGTAACAAGGAGGAAATGGCTTTACTAGCAGGTTTGCAATTTGTCCAACCACTATATGAACCATATGCATAGTCAGGATTTCTTTTTTCTTATTCTATATACCCTTTCCACTAAAAGTCTCTAAAGCTTAGGTTTGAATACGTTTCCTTATATATTAAACATTATTGTATATATACTGAGTCATACAGCAGAAATACTACGTAAACATATTTAGGTAAATGAAGTATAATTTCATATACTACTGAGAAAGTACAGTACTACCCACTATAGACTATTTTTAGCCTCTTACATGAATCTTGTTATATAATTAATAATGAATCAATCACAGAAACACATTTATGTTTTTAAGTACTATTTAAAATACCTTTGAATGATGTAGAAAATAAATTTATAAAGAAGATAAATAAAATGTATTAAAATTATGTGTGGAAAACAGAGAAAATGTACAAAAAGAGCCCTCCCATATGCGCACACACACACACACACACACACACACACATCCATGACTGCATTCATGGGGATCTTCTCCAGGGACTCAGCAGAAAGGGGGCTCCAAAGTAGAAGCCATTGCATGCAGTCTCTAGAGGCCCTCTTTAAGAAAGCTTCTCCATATGGCTATTATGAGAATTAAAATGGCTAGTGAACCCCCAGCTGAAAAAAGATACCCCATCAATGTTATTTCTCTACTCCCATTTCCCAGTCTAGATTGCAATGTAATGGAATAATTCTGAGTCTCAAAGTGTTAGCAAGTGGAATAATAGGTGTTTTCAGTGCTAAACATTTGTCTAGGGCTGGCACCTTTGAGGCCTTTTCTGCCAATGATGCAACCTCGCTAGGCCATTAAAGCATACCATATTCACACGCTGATCACATCTCACAGATTTGAGGAATTTGTGAAAGTAGGAATTGTGCTGTCTTAGTTCCACCTCCCTCTGGAGACAAGCATTCAATGAAGAAGTTTTAAGTGCCCTTGCGGGTGCCTGTCTTGCCCAGAAGTCATGTCTTTGAGGCAGGCACAGGAAACAAGGCGATGCTGATGTAAATGGATCAGTCTTTCAAGACACTTGATGATCTCATAGTCAGGAAGAGCAAGAGCGGTCATGTTCAAGCCCAGCATCTGGGAAACTACCTCCCTGAAGTCCGCCAGCTGCAACATCAAACAGAAACACATTAACTGGGAGAACAAAAAGTCTCCACTGTTGCTGGGTCAAGTGCAACCAAAAGCAAAAAGATAAATAATAAAACCTGGAAAACTCAGGTCTGCACAAGGTAGGTCAATTACCTACCCCCTTTAGCCTTATAAAATAAGTTGGCTTGCCTGCTAATTACTTCTAAAGTCTCTTCAAGGGTCTCCCTTTAGCAATTCTCATAGCCACTTTTCTGATGAGCAAATTGATTAGCTACTCAAGAATTCCAGTTGAGAACCCATAAATGAGACTCTGACCTAAGGCTTCATTTTCTCTTCTCCATATACTTACTTGCTCTGAAATTCAGAACAAATGAAATGATAATTATGTATGTGCTCTGCACAGTAGAAATACAGAGCTGGAAATATACAGATGTTGGTATCATAGTGTCAATGGATGATAAATGTTTGTGCATTGGAATGTGAACTGGACAATGAACTTCTTAAACTAAAAGAACAAATGGCAAGAAAGCAGGAGGGCTTCTAAATTAGTATCATATCACATCACAGAGATTGCCACCTCAAAACATATCACTGGACTGGTGTGGGATTATTTGTCCATTGAGAAAGGGAAAATGGGAGATCAGGAACAATGGCTGAAATATGCTTCCTATACCCCTTCAAATTCTCCTAGGCTGCTTTCTCTTGTTCTAAGATAATGCAGAAGCAGGTAAATGAGGGCTATCTGGACAATACCTCATTAAAGCTACCTTCCATTTTAGAAAAGCTGTGATCCAACCAGAAAATGGGTTACATTAGAAAAACGCCATCCATACAGCCTGCCCTGGGCCCATTGCTTCCCAACCACCTTCCCATGCAGAGTCCAATTTGGGAAATGCAACGTCCTCTCTACCTGTTATGGTAGAACTGTTTGTGCGTGCGCACGTGCACACACACACACACACATATGGAAACACACCAATGTGATGGTATCAGGAGGTGGAGATAATTGGGTGGGAGTTAGTTAGGTTTCAATGAGAGTCCCCAGGACAGGATTAGTGCCCTCATAAAACAGTCCCCAGAGAGCTACTTTGTCCCTTCTACCATGTGAGGACACAAAGAGAAGACACCGTCTATGAACCAGATGCTCCATGTACCGGCACCTGGACCAACCTCCAGAACTGTGAGGAAGAACAGTCTTGTTTACCAGCCACCCAGTTTACAGCCTGGGCACACAGCACCTCAGCAGACTGAGGCCCTGGCCTCTCTCCCAGATGAAAAGGTTTTCCTCAAACCTCCACCCTTTTGAATGTGATCAGAGCTCTTAATTCCCAGGATGTTTCCCCCAAGTCCATTTGCTCTCACGGTTTGGCTTTCCCAAACTGTCTGACATCTGAGCCAAAGCAGAGGCAGCCAAAGAGCAGGGGAGAAAAAAAAAAAACTCCTAGGACCAGAGTCCACTCTCTGCCCTTTTGAGCTCCAGAAAGAGAGTGACATGAAAGCCAGAGGCAGTGGGGGTCAGGCTGCCCGGGACATATTTCTTTATGCCTGACCTGATGTGCTCACCAGATAAAATGTTCCTCCTGTAGCCAGCCAGCCATGAGTTCATTTTTATGGCTTACATCTGTGCTTGGTGGACTCACAAGTCTGGGTGCCACTGTTTGAGACTGGAGGCTATTTCCTGCCACTGATCTCTTCCAGAGATGAGGCCTCTCCCCCAGGTTTCCAAGCCCTGCTAATGTTCAGGGACCTGAAGGGTGCAGAGCCCAGAGGTCATCACCAGACATAATAAACGACCTTGCCACAACCAGAACCTGGGCTCTCACCGGCTTGTCACTGCTGTGATAAGAGCCTGTCTTTATTTCCTACAAACCTTGCCACGCCACCGTGAACTGCAAATCATGACAATTCATCATGGTTATTGGGATGCCGAAAGGATGCAGGAGGATCGGTTGCAATGATATAGAAAGCTTGACAAAGTGGTTTTGAAGAAACGTGTGAATACCGCTGTCTTTGGAGCACACACCACCAAATTGGAATCACACTGAGAAGAGTAGCGTGGCCCCTGCGCCAGGGTGACAGTCTGTGAAGCATCCCAGTGAGTCACCGTCAAGCCTCTGAACTGTCCCGCTGTGTCCCCACAGGATTTCCCTGCCGCAGTTGTGCCTACCTGCTTTTCTCTCTTTTCTGCATCCTCCAGAGATCTTTTCAGAGTCTTCATCTCGCTGGTCACTGCTTCCAGCATGTGTCGGGCCCTTTCCTTACCCTCCTCGGCCTCCCGCCCCGCCGTGTCCAGTTCTGCCCTGACCGACGCGAGCTGCTTCTCCACTTTCTCCTTCATCTTCTCCAGCTGGTCTCTGGATTTATTTAAGTCTTCGATGGTTTTGGTCTGTTCCAAAGTTTTAATCTAAAGAGACAAAAGAAGGCTGATCGTTTCTTTCTTTTTTATTTAGGAAAACTGTGCAAACAACATAAATCAGAAGTCAATGGAGCTCACTTAACTTTTTATGAATAAAGAAAGGAATTTATCCTAAACAGCGACATGGACTTTGCTGGATATTATGAGTTGGAGGAACATGACTTAAGACTGTTCTAGCTTATAAACAACACGGGAGTGCCCTTATTTGGAAAAATCAATGAGATGAAACTGTAGACAGCATGATTCTGGATTGAGATAGTAAAGCTCTCAAGCAACCTACACTTTCTGGCCCTACCTGTGGGCCACCATCCCTATAAACGTTAGAAGAGCAAACTGTCCACTAGTTGTGTGTCCTACAAGGGAGCCCCACCTAAGGTCCCCTCGGCAAGTCTGCATCACTGTGAGCAAAATCAAGACCAGAATTATTCAGAAACGTCTTCTGTCTGCACAATGCGTACCAGTCACAGAAGGTGGCAATGGGGCCTCTGCAGACCGAGGGAGGGTGGTGTGTCCCACCAAGGAGTTGTCCCAGGATCTTTCATTCCCAGCCCATTTTTAAAATTTTTTATCTTGAGACAGGGTCTCACCAAGTTGCTTAGGGCCTCACTAAGTTGCTGAGGCTGGCTTTGAACTTTTGATCCTCCTGCCTCAGCCTCCCCACAAGTCGCTGGGATTACAGGCAGTGCCACCGCGCCCAGCTGTCCCAGGATCTTAAAGCCCAAACACAGAGTATCCTAGAGTTCAGGGCATATTTTCTGTGTTAGCTTATTATTCAAGGCTACACCAGAGCTTCTTACAAAAGAATTCCAGTAAAAAGGAATGAAATTCTGACTTTGCTACAACGTGGATGAACTTTGAAAACATGCTAAGGCCCAAAAGGACAAATAGTATATAATTCCACTTATCGCAGGTACCTAGACCAGGCTGTTTCAGAATGGAACACAGAATAGAAGCTGTCAGGGGTGGGGATGGGGGAGCTGTGAGCCATCATCTGAGGGGCACAGAGTTTCATTTGAGATGATGGGAAAGTTCTGGAAATGGATAGAGACGATGGTTTCACAACATGGTGAATGTAGTTGATGCCACTGGAATGCAGACATAGTGATGACTAAAACGATGAATTTTATGTCTTATTTTGCCACTATCAAGTTAAGGAATTTGAAGCAGTTTTATACAGACACAAGTATTTTTAAATGACCATTAAAAATAAATACACATCCTGGGCTGGGGTTGTGGCTCAGCCATAGAGCACTCGCCTAGGTGTCCTTCAACAGATGAATGGTAAAGAAAATGAGGTATATGCACTCAATGGATTATCACTCAGTCTTGAAGAAGAATGAAATTATGGCACTTACTGGTAAATGGATGGAGTTGGAAAATAACATGCTAAGCAAAATAAGCCAATTTCAACTAACCAAAGGTCGAATGTTTTCTCTAATATGTGGATGCTAATTCACAGTAAGGCAGGGGTGGGAGGGCACTAGAGAAGAAAAGCATTACCTTAGATTATAGGGAAGGGGAGGGGAGGGTACGTGGGGATAGGAAGGATAGTAGAACAAAATAGACATTATTACTTTATGTATATATGTGACTGCATGCTCAATGTGATTCTGTAACAGGTTCACTCAGAAAAGTGAGAAATTATATCCCATCTATGTATATCAAAGTGCATAAATGCATTCTGCTGTCATATATAACTAATTAAAACAGATTTTAAAAGTTAAAAAATAAATACACATGAGCTACCACTTAACATCCACTGGGATGGCTAAATAAAAACGACAGACAATGACAAGGGATTGCAAGAATCTAGGGACATGGGGGTCTCGAGCGCTGCCGGTGAGACGTAAAATAGCCCAGCTGCTGAGGAGGGCAGTCTGGACAATTTCAAAGTGTGGAACACAGAGTTGCCATAAGATCCACAGCTTTGCTCCTAGTTGTATCACAGGTGCAGCGGTAGAGTGCTTTCCTAACATGCACAAGGGTTTGATCCCCAGCTCTACAAAGGACAGACAGGACAGGTGGAGGAGAAAACATGCCACATAAAGACCTTGCATAACCACCAAAAAGTGGGAACAACTCAAATGTCCATCAAGTGATGTATAGAGAACCAAAATGTGGTGTGGCCACGCAATGGGATACTACTCAGCAGAAGGACCGAGTACCATGACAGGCCGCAACATGAGTGAACCTTGAAAATGTCAAGCCAAGGGGGAAAAGCCAGCTGCAAAGACCCCATGTTGTGGGATGTCACTTACATGAAAGATCTGGGAGAGGTCTGAGGCTGGTGAGAGGGGCCAGGGGAGTGCCTGCCTACAGGTACGTGGTTTCTTTGGGGGATGATGAAACCATTCTGAAACTTGATAATGGTGATGTCTGCACAACCCCAAGAAGACACTAAAAACCACTGAACTGTACACTTAAAAGGGTGAATTTTATGACAATTGAATTGTTTCTTGATAAAAGTATTGTTTGATGTACGTTTACAGAGAAGGCCTCAAAGAATGACAATAAATTATTTGAAATAAGTAAACAAGTTTGTACATTTGAATCGAGGGGACAAAGAACAGAGATGGATAGAGCTCAGGATTTAGTTCTGAGTTCTGAACAAATCAGACAAGGTCTGCAGGCACAGTATCAGAAAAAAGGTATCACTTGGGATTTTAATTCTGTGTTCAAGTCCTTTGAATATTCAGTATGAAAGTAATGAAATAATGAGTGCTTTCCCTCTTCCCTCCACCCTGTCTTCCCTAAGAATGAAGGACATGTTCTCGCTGCACCTACTCCCCTGATCCCTCCTGGGGCAGAATCAGAGTCAAGGGGTGAGTTGAGGGTGATCGAAGGAAGAGACCCAGGGGGAGTAAACTGTTCTACAGGATAAAGAACTCAGAGAAGGAGGGGAGAAAGGCGAGAGCCATGCTCAAGAGGCTGCTGGAAAGGTGTTGTGAAGAAACTGGGTGTGGAAGGACTCGCTAGGCGCCATAGGGCTGCGTGGGCAACTTGAGAGTGAAAGATAAAAGGAGAAGACACTTCAAACCGTTGCTGCTCCCAGTGAATGAACGCCCTCTTCATCTTTTTGTTTGGGGTGGGGGTCGGTTTGTTTTGTTTTTGTGTAATGATGAAGCTGGTGGACTGGTTACTAATTGGCCAGCAGGTGTAGATAGGTGACTCACTGGTCCTATTAGGAGGACACTATAGGAGATGACATCCTCACCTGGTCCTGAGCACATCTTCACTGTGACTGAGGATCCAAACCTGGGCACAAGTTGACCTGACCTACACTCTGACCGATGCCTCTTACCAACCCACTAGAAAGTCAGGGGAAGGGAAGGCGTCACTGTGAGCTTAGAATTAGGACATGAGATGTGACTTGTGAGTGAACACCTGCGGTTCTGACCTACTGTAACACATTTTAACTTCCTAGGAAATTAAATTCCTTCAGCTATGGTCTGAATGTTTGTGATCCCCAAAATTCCTATGTGGAAATCCTAGCCCCTAAGGTAACACTATTAGGAAGTTGAACTTTGGGAAGTGAAAACAGAGTCCTTGTGAAGGGGTCAAAGTGGCTGAAGAGCTCTCTTAACCCCTTGAACTGTGCGAGGACACAGCAAGAAGGTGTTCTCTATGACCCGGGAAGCAGGCCCTCACCAGACATCCAGTCTGCGGGCACCTTGATCTAGAACTTTCCAACCTCCAGAACTGTGCAAAGAAAATTTCTGTTCTTTTTAATCCTCCCAGTTTATGGTATTTTATTACAGCAGCCTAAGAGTGAGACACTTTTCTAGACAGGAAGGAGGTCAATGCTCAGATAAGTCACAGCTGCTGACCTGGCTCTGTCCAGAGGAGATGAAATTCCTTTGGAAACTGGCAGCAGGTGTGGGATTTGCTATCTAGAAGGCATAAGAACAACTGTGACAGCTCCGGAAATGTGCAGAAATTAAAATGACCGCTGCTGGGGGAAGGGATTCCACACTGGCATCAATGAAATGATACCAGTAGAGCAGGTCCCTGAGACAGAGAAATGCCACTACGAAGAGCAGGTCCACAGGAGCTGACCCAGGAGAGCATTCATGCATCCCAAGGTATGAAGCCCGTCTGTGGATATGGACTGAGTATTAGATACGGGTGTGTCAGAGCATGGCCTCAGTGGTAACTCCTACCATCAAGGGCAAAGTCAAGCCCAAGCCCAACCCCACGACTCCCAGGCCCCACAACTCCCAGGCTCCACACACTTTCTATAAGCCACAGCATATCACAGGAGACCAATTTTGCTCTCTTTATGTCTTTGTTCACACTGTAAATGTCGAATAAAATCTCAATGTTTAATTTAGCACCAAAAAAAAATACTAATTCCTGAATATGCTACTTATATTGAGGCAAAGGACAAGAATGCCCTTGCTCTTAAGAGATACACAGTATTTGGGAGTGAGGTGTAAAGATGTTTGCAACTCTCTCTCAAATGGTTCAGCAAAAATAAAAGCAATCTCTCTCTCTCTCTCTCTCTCTCTCTCTCTCTCTCTCTCTCTCTCTCTCTCTCTCTCTCATATTAAGCAAAATATAATAATTAATAAAACATTTAAAATCTTTGTGAAGGGTTAGAGAATGTCCATTACACTATTCTGGCAATTGTTCCATAGATTTGAAAGGGACTATATTGATCATGGAGCCTATGGATTAAAAATTTTAATAACTAAGTATATCTATTTATAAATTAGATAAATATACATCTCCAAATAATGTATTCTATAGACTATCAAATATTTTTATAAATTGTGGACATTACATGGATGAAATAAGTATCAATTTTTAAAATAATCTCCCATTAAAATAAAGAGCTCCCCTTCACATGCTCTCTAGCTCTGTGCTGCAGAGAAAATACACAGCAAAGGGGCAGTGCTGGGGTTGGTGTGTTGAGTTCAGACCCTTGTCTTAATAGAGAGACACATTCAGGCTACAGCTCGGAGAGATGAATCAAGTCCTAGGGAGGA